TTGACCAAACCCTTTTTTATATATACAAAGATGTTCTCAATTAAAAAAAAGAGGACACAGATTGAACTCGAGAACAGTGATTCATTACATAAAAGTGCGCTCTTTGAATCAAAATACAGAAACTCGGTATACTAAAAAAAGCTAAGTATTAAAAAGCATTGAGAGTAAGGATAAGTTGATGCAACACTCTTGTGTTGCAGAGTTGATTATCAACTCATTTTTCCTTCCCAACACTTGCAATGGAAGGCCTATGCATGAACAGCCTATAGGCCTACATGATCATAAAACCTATAGAATGTTATTTTATTCGTCCACGTGGACTGGTCAGTGCTAATATGGACTTGCTTAGTGTAGGGTCGGCGTTCTAGCCCCGATAGTCATCGTTCCTTAATCCCTGTCCTCATATCCCAGCTTTTAGTCTGTCGCATATCCCTTGCAGGTACGATACAGCCATGCCAGATGAGAGCAGCCTAGTCACAGTGATCCCCACACACTTAGACACTAGGCTTCATGGCTTGCGTTAGCACCTCATCTCGTTGACACACATTCATAGTTGCTTGTGCAATATGGTCAAGTACAGGCCTAAACGGTAAATTCATTTTATGCGATGGAGAATAAAATTGACACTTCCATAGAGCGAGTGATGTTACACTTTCAAGAATTTGCTTGACTTGTATATCGGGGTTATGTAGATAAAGTTTGGCTTATCTCACAAGGAAAGCTTATATATATATATATATGTGCCTGTCTGTCAAAAATCTCACCTCATAAACAAAACAAAAAGAAACTCATCCTAACCATTCATCCACTTGCCACAAAAAAAAAAAAAAATGGTGTGATTTCAAACTCCCCCAAAAACCGGTGTTTCCCAAAATTAAACCTGCTCACTAGCTGTGTTCAGAGCGCGGCTAACCATTCTGAAATCGTGTAATAGTGAATATAATATTAATTTGTGTTCATAGGACCGTAAGAGTGAACATATATATATATATATACGTTCATCATGACAGCAGAATGGATTATATTGATCGTGTATGATTGTACTCACCTATTTGTACTCGCCTATTTGTGCCTGCAGGATCGAGCATTGACTTTTGGATCCCGCCTTTCTAGCCATCGGTTGTTTACAGCAATGACTCCGGTCCTATTTTCCTATCATATTCAGTTTTAAAATTATGAATAGAGTTTGCTTCCACAATCTGTTCCTTAAGTACATTCCATTGCTCCACTACTCTCACGCTAAATGCCTCCTTACTTAGGTTTTCTGAATGATGTTCTAACTTTTGCCAGTGTAGAGTACGCTGCTGTCGTTATCCTATTTATATGTGCTTCAGGAGATAGATTAGGTGTTACGTCCACCCCCAGGTCTCTTTCTCGCGTTGTCATAGGTAAGCAGATCTCCTTCATTGTGTACTGTCCCTTTGGTCTCCTATCACCTAGTCCAATTTCCATAACTTTACATTTGCTCGTGTTGAACTTCAGTAGCTATTTCTCTGACCATCTCTGCAACCTGTTCAAGTCCTCTTGGAGGATCCTACAATCCTCATCTGTCACAACTCTTCTCATCAACTTTGCGTCATCCGCGAACATCGACATGTAGGACTCTACGCCTGTAAACATGTCGTTAACGTATATTAGAAATAGAATTGGTCCCAGCACCGATCCTTGAGGTACTCCACTCGTTACTGTTCGCCAGTCCGACTTCTCACCCCTTACCGTAACTCTTTGGCTCCTTCCTGTTAGGTAGTTCCTTACCCATGCTAGGACCTTTTCCTCCCCCCCCCCGCCTGCCTCTCGAGTTTGAACAGCAGTCTCATGTGCGGTACTGTATCAAAGGCGTTTTGGCAGTCCTGAAATTTTTAGTCAGCCCAACCTTCTCTGTCCTGCCCTATCCTTGTTATTTTATCATAGAATGTATGTGTGTATGTGTGTGTGAATATACACACATATATATATATATATATATATATATATATATATATATATATATATATATATATATATATATATATATATATATATATATATATATTACATAATATATATATTATATATGTGTGTTTGGTAGATTTATTTTTTGGAGTAAAGGAGATGGAGATCTGCAACTGAAGGAACGTATCATCAGAGAGACAGAGACATTGAGACAAACAGAGAGACAGAGACATTGAGACAAACAGAGAGACAGAGACATTGAGACAAGCAGAGAGACAGAGACATTGAGACAAGCAGAGAGACAGAGACATTGAGACAAGCAGAGAGACAGAGAGAGACCGACAGACAGAGGCACAACTGACCTGTATCGCCGGGTGCAGTGGTTCAGACCCGATCTTCTCCATGGCGTGTGGGCGTGGGTGGACGTGGTGGGGCGGGGGGGTCATGACGTGGGCGGTAGGCGGGGGCGGGAGACGTGGGCCACGTGCACCGCCCACCACGCCTCGAACTGACGTGCTGACTCCTCGCTGACTTCTCCTGACCCCCTGATCAGCGCTGACAGCAGGCTCTGAGGGAGGACGAGACGGCCACTTACACATTGTTAAGGCCACCACCTTCATATATATATATATATATATATATATATATATATATATATATATATATATATATATATATATATATATATATATATATATATATATATATATATCATCAATCTTCTTAATATTTCTTATATTTTTCTTCACTGTCGAGGAAAGTTGAAAAATTAAGTCTCCAAAGTTCATTTTCACACTTTAATATGGTCTGACGCCTTGGGGGATGCGTTTTGGAATGAATTAAAGGAGCATGTTGTAGAAATAAACTCCATTCATAATTTTAAAATTATATTTGATGGGTAATAAGTCGGGAATATTTACATTAAACATCTGGCGGATAGAAATGTGGGGTCCAAGAGCTAACGCTCAACCCTGCAGGCATAATGAAGTGAGTACAAAGAGGTATGAAATGCACACATAAATCATCAGATACAAAATTCTCAAGGGGAATTAACCCTGCAAATAAACAGTCTATTTGGAAAGAAAACGAGGAGATTCCGGTTGATCTGACTCCCACTGACTGACTCCGACTGACTGACTCAGACTGACTGTCGACTCTACAGTCAATAAACTGGTACTAACAGTTCAGCGGTGGACAGAACAAATGCAAAGTGAAGTGTTGGAGGCGACATCAGTCTGAATCAATGAGAGAATTTCCATTTTTTTATTTTTTGAAGGTTGGAAGGCCGATGCTAGGGGTTACCCTTGACCCAACTTTGCAGGGTGAGTGGTCAGGGGCACGGGGCGGACATAGGCTGGTCAAGGTCGCCAGAGTTCAAGGGGAAACAACCTGCCACGGACCAACATATATTCATCCCAAACCACCAATTCTGACACTGCCTATCAACTACACCTATCTATACATATTTACAAACAAAAAGTAATAATTTCAAACATTTTTTTCTTATAGCAATATGAACAATTATGCACCGATCTCGAGAAAATGAGCAGAAATTTTCCAATCATTATACTTTGTCTATACTAGCATAATACATATTATTTACTCCATAATACATAATTCATACAGTACCCCTCACAGGTTCAAAAGCTTCCCATAACCTGCTCCATTCTCAAAACAAAGGGGGTATACTATTATATAAACATAATAATATTATATATATATAACTATTATATAATTAATAATTAATTAATTTATTATAATATAATATTATATATATATAAACTATTATATAATTTATTTATAAATTTATATACAAGAAACTACATTAGGTTTTAGAGAATACATAGCATAGTATTTACAATCTTGTAAAGCCACTAGTACGCGCAGCGTTTCGGCCAGGTCCTTAATCTAACAGATAATTTTAAGGGGGTAAATTCTAGCAGAATTAATAATAATTGCATAACGTTTTATTAATAATAATTTAATTAATAATAATATATAACATTTAACTCTGCTATCACTCCTATCTCCTATCACTGGTGGACCACCCACATTTCAATGGGAAACTATTATTATTATTTTCATAAGAGAGAGTGTATGAAACAGAGAAAGATAGAGAGACAGGACCAGAGAGCTGAAGCCCAACTCCCCCCACACACGCACAATTATTGAGTTTGCACGCAAAAGCACCTGCGTGTCCAGACGTCACAGCCAGCGATTATAGCACCGTCACAGCCCGCGATTATAGCGCCGTCACAGCCCGCGATTATAGCCCCGTCACAGCCCGCGATTATAGCCACCGTCACAGCCAGCGATTATAGCCCCGTCACAGCCAGCGATTATAGCCCCGTCACAGCCAGCGATTATAGCCCCGTCACAGCCCGCGATTATAGCCACCGTCACAGCCAGCGATTATAGCCCCGTCACAGCCCGCGATTATAGCCACCGTCACAGCCCGCGGTTATAGCCACCGTCACAGCCAGCGATTATAGCCCCGTCAAAGCCAGCGATTATAGCCCCGTCACAACTAGCGATTATAGCCCCGTCACAGCCCGCGATTATAGCACCGCCACAGCCCGCGATTATAGCACCGTCACAGCCCGCGATTATAGCCCCGTCACAGCTAGCGATTATAGCCCCGTCACAGCCCGCGATTATAGCGCCGTCACAGCCCGCGATTATAGCACCGTCACAGCCGCGATTATAGTCCCGTCACAGCCCGCGATTATAGCACCGTCACAGCCCGCGATTATAGCACCGTCACAGCCGCGATTATAGTCCCGTCACAGCCCGCGATTATAGCGCCGTCACAGCCCGCGATTATAGCACCGTCACAGCCGCGATTATAGCACCGTCACAGCCCGCGATTATAGCACCGTCACAGCCCGCGATTATAGCACCGTCACAGCCGCGATTATAGTCCCGTCACAGCCCGGGATTAAAGCACCGTCACAGCCCGGGATTATAGTCCCGTCACAGCCCGCGATTATAGCGCCGTCACAGCCCGCGATTATAGCCCCGTCACAGCCCGCGATTATAGCACCGTCACAGCCAGCGATTATAGCACCGTCACAGCCCGCGATTATAGCACCGTCACAGCCCGCGATTATAGCCACCGTCACAGCCCGCGATTATAGCACCGTCACAGCCCGCGATTATAGCCCCGTCACAGCCCGCGATTATAGCACCGTCACAGCCCGCGATTATAGCACCGTCACAGCCAGCGATTATAGCGCCGTCACAGCCCGCGATTATAGCACCGTCACAGCCAGCGATTATAGCGCCGTCACAGCCAGCGATTATAGCACCGTCACAGCTTGCGATTATAGCGCCGTCACAGCCAGCGATTATAGCACCGTCACAGCCAGCGATTATAGCACCGTCACAGCCCGCGATTATAGCTACCGTCACAGCCCGCGATTATAGCCACCGTCACAGCCCGCGATTATAGCCACCGTCACAGCCCGCGATTATAGTACTGTCACAGCCCGCGATTATAGCCACCGTCACAGCCCGCGATTATAGCCACCGTCACAGCCCGCGATTATAGTACCGTCACAGCCCGCGATTATAGCTACCGTCACAGCCCGCGATTATAGCCACCGTCACAGCCCGCGATTATAGCGCCGTCACAGCCCGCGATTATAGCGCCGTCACAGCCCGCGGTTATAGCCACCGTTACAGCCCGCGATTATAGCCACCGTCACAGCCCGCGATTATAGCCACCGTCACAGCCCGCGATTATAGTACCGTCACAGCCCGCGATTATAGCTACCGTCACAGCCCGCGATTATAGCCACCGTCACAGCCCGCGATTATAGCGCCGTCACAGCCCGCGATTATAGCGCCGTCACAGCCCGCGATTATAGCCCCGTCACAGCCAGCGATTATAGCCACCGTCACAGCCAGCGATTATAGCCCCCGTCACAGCCCGCGATTATAGCCACCGTCACAGCCCGCGATTATAGCGCCGTCACAGCCAGCGATTATCACAAAACGCGCCGTCTTATCTAACGATACCCGGAGCTCGGAGAGGACCACGACCAGATTACCACCCGGATTTACCTGATTTACAACTGCCTTCAAGAGACATTCACAGGGCGCCCGAGGGCGTGGGGGGGGGGGTGAGGGAGGGGCAGTGCCCCCGGGTGTCTGGCCTCCAGGGGGGGGGGGGGTAATATCCGGCTCAATAACCAAGACATGTTTGGGACACGAATAAACCTAACCTTCAAGCCTCCAGACGTTATCAAAATATTTTGTTTTGATGGTAATTAAACCCCTTAAAAAAAACTGGAAAGGTTTAACGCGTTGAATCTGAGGCCGCGGCACGAACGGAGTGCTCAACTAGGCCACTTGATCTTGGGATTCGAACCCACATTAGCCAGGTTTCAGCAAGCCAGGTCGCAGGGGGATGGGAGGGGGGAGGGGGGTGTTGAGCGCCCGCTTTAAATGCTAACACCGGCTTAAGACACGATGCTGTAAACTCTACACTAGCGAGGTCACACTTGGCAAAGCGCTCTCAAACTCAGGACCCGGATTCATGAAGCAGTTACGCACGTACTTAAGAACATGTACATCTTTCCTCAATCTTTGACACCTTTGGTTACATTTATTAAACAGTTTACAAGCATGAAAACTTGCCAATCAACTGTTGTTATTGTTATAAACAGCTCCTGGTGCTTCGGAGCTCATTAACTGTTTAATAATTGTAAAAAAAAGTCGCCAAAGATTGAGAAAAAGATGTACGGGATCGTAAGTGCTTGCGAACTGCTTCGTGAATCCGGGTCCAGGGCTCCAGGTCCTCGTATAGCCCTGAAGGCCTGCTACTGACGATGTACCGGATGTACATGTAACATATTTGAACAATCTTCTCTCGTACATACAGCAATGAAGCGCGTCAATGACTGGGCAAGTACAACTCAAAGCGAACTTGCAGGCATATACCTTGCCACTGAATTGTTAAAAGACAAAGGCAGTGGACTTATATATTGTGACTCGAAGAGTGCACTCCTGGCATTGAACGCACATAGTAGTGACACCCAGAAAATAGTCAGTGATATTCGAATGAATGTTTTAGCTGCTAAAGAAAACAGATTTGAGATTAAATTCCTATGGATACCATCACATGTTGGCATCTCAAGGCATGACACTGTTGATATGCTTGCTAAGACAGCCTGCAGAAAACCAGTGGTAGAAATTAATATGGGTGTTTCACTAGCAGTGACAAAGAGAATACTTAAACAAATATCTAATGAAAATCTCACCGACCTAACAAATTCACAAAGACCTGAAAGTTGTAGCATTAAATATTATGATAGATATCGTGAGGAGACATTCACATATGGGACTAATAGAACAAGAACCCGGCAATGTGATGTTATAGTGGCCAGAATACGCCTGGGATATAGACGTATCTGGCAGCTTTCTCAAAACCCAAATGTCGAGTACACAATGTGTCAACTTTGTGAAAGAGAAAACATGCACTCTCTTGAACATTATATTGTAGAAATGTCCCATATTGACTTACTTTCGCCCTCCTGGGCTAAGGTATGCTGAACTGTGTAATTA